TATATATATATGTATATATATATATATTGTTTCTCAGAAAAACATCAACAAAGTAGAGCCTCCTAAACAAGACTAAATGAAAATTACACAATTGGGCTGATAAGTCCTAAGGAGAGGTGAAGGGAAGTGGAAAAAAGGTTGATAGCTGACACTTCCACTGTGCTAAGTGCGAGGCATTATTCTAAACAATTTACATATATTAACTCATTTAATTCTCAAAAACAGTATTATGAAGAACCATTATTATCCCCACTTTACAGATGAGGAAACAAAAGCACAGGGAGGTTAACCAATGTTTCCAGAGCCTCACCAGCAGTAAACATGCTGTGCTTCATACTTCTTTGCCTTCTACAACTTTCAAACTTACAGACCATTTCATAGAGTAAATTTCTAACCAAAGGTTTGTTATCCTTTCTAGAGAAAGTTTTCAGTTGCAATGTGAATTCAGGGTTTAATATCTAATTTGTAATATAACAGGCTAAGAACTAAGACTGATAAAATAAAAAGGGAAAGAAGGGGAGTTCACAATATAATGCACACAGGTTATATCCAATGCAGCTTTCCCGCTCTATTATCAAACAGCATTTGGGGGAGGCAACAGAGCACTTGACGAAATTTTGGGAAACACACTCTCATCTCCATTCTCCCTCAAACAATGAGTCTTTGGCCATGTCCTTTAACCTCTCTACATATTAGCCAACCTTCTATAAAATGAGAGGCTTGAACAAGAAAAACAGGCATTCCTTCTAGCTCTATTACTCTAAGCATTAGCTAAAGTATTGAAAAAGGTCACGAACCACACCAGATAAAAACAGCAAACTCCAATTGCATGACTAAAACTCTGGTTTCAGTACTAAAGTAATAATCAGCATAATAAACATGACGTTGTATGAAAAAAAAAAAGAGTTCAGAGATATGAGATGAAATTTGATTGGGGTAAGTAAAGTTAAATACTACACATAGAAGTACACGCATACATGTCATTAAAAAAATGAAATTATTAACAGGAATCTAATTGAGAATGCGCCATTAAATAATTGGGTAGGGTTTTTTCCCAAGTATGTAAGCCATTAGGATACAAAAGCAAGACCACTAGGAGCATAAAAATAATGTAAGCCTTGAAATAAAGCAGCAACGTACTGGATTTAATGAATTGGAATTTGGTGCAAGAGATGAAGCAATGGGACAACTGCCAAAAACATAAAATCCTAACATGATGTTTGGCTTTGGACCACACATGAGCCTTAATCAAAATGTGAGCTCAAAGGCTCTAGAAAACTGGTTTACCCAGCAAATCTCCTATATGCATGGTTCTTTCCTAGCCCCTCTCTGTTGGAAACATAATCTCCTCAAATGCCAACGTGCTCAAATTGAAGGCAACACTTCTAGACTGCTAAACTTCCTGGGATTCTAGCCCATACCTTCCTGGGTAAATGATTTTCATATACTGAATAACTGACTATACACCTAACCCTAAATAGAAACTCAAGTAGGATATTCTAGTAGGTGAAGACAGCCCAGAGTTTTGGGGACTGCTTGTTTGCCCCTTCTTAAATGAGGCTGTAATAATAGGACAGATGGAGTAGCCTACTTTACCTAAAAGTGTGCCTAAATTTGATCTTCCAAGAAAAGGAAGGACAGAAAAAGTGACTGCGACTGAATTGGACCTTCCAAGAAAGGGAAGGACAATCAAGAATCCTCTATCATCTCCACCAAGGTCAGAACAATTACAGTTGAAAGTAGGACCCACTAAAGTGAAAGATTTCTAGAATTTTCCAGTCAAGATTTGAATTGCCTTTATCTTTATCATAACATACTACATCCAGTCATAAACAACTGGCAAGACAGCTCTTTTCCAAGGAGGTCAAAGTCCTGCCGACGCTGAATTCTACAAAAGACCCTTCTAAAGTAAAACCTTAGCAGAGAAGTACAATCTCTGTATAGAACCAAAACTAAAACTAGGACTCAGAGAAGTTAAAGTGCCCTAAGGTAAGGCAATATCTAAGTGAAAGAATTCTCAACCCTCTCTGCTCAAGGAATGGCTCCTATATAGCAAGAGAGCAGATTTATGCAATAGAAAGGGGATAAGAGTGGTGACAGGCCCCGGTCCTAGTCCTGGAAAAAAGATTTTCTTATGCATTTTCAAATAAAGCGACTCGCATTACCAACATAACATCTACCAAAAACCATTATCAAGAGTAACATTTTAAGTTTAGGCTAAAATACACTACTCTCCAGACAGTATAGACAAAGAAAAAATAAGGAATTTTATATGTGTACAAACTACTAATCTGTTTTGAGAAAAGACTCTTGATAAACCCAAATACATAATAATTTTAAAATCTAGAATATGTCCTAGGTCTAGTGATTCAGAGTATGTGAATTACATAATTACATGTATATATATATATATATATATATGTGTGTGTGTGTGTATATATATGTATGTAAATATATATAACACTATTTTATCTTTAGGAATAGACTTTCAAAAAATGTCATATTTTGCCACTGACTGCGTGCAGTCTGTGTATATTAAACCCAATCATAAAGTCTGCCCTCTACACCTGAACACCGTACAGAGGTACCAATGAAAAGATATGGTCTCCAAGCATAAGTGGGCCTGAATCACTGCTAAGCCATGTTTACAGGCACCCATCCCCAACGTCCTCTTCTCAAGCTTCCTCCCGTACTCCTGATAAATCTGCTTCACAGAATGGAGACCATCCAGCTACAAGCCTCTTTCTACGCCCAATGATCCCTCTCAAGAATTCTTCCCTAACCTCTAATCTCTCCATCCCATCAATGCTCCATCCTACCCATGTTCTTAGTGTTTACTCCATTAATTTCACCCTCAGCCTCTCCAGGGGTTCCTCTCCCCTACTTTACAGATTTTTTCACTCTCACCATTTCTTTTACCACCTTTTGGGGTAACACTGTGGTACATAATTGCAACCCTTATTTAACCAAATTATAACTGGGGTTCAAAGTGGTTAAATAAAGTGCCCCCAGGAACTCTATCCTTCCCTTCTCCTAGTTCTCATATATCTCTGTGAATTTCCTATCATTGTACTTTGATGATTCTATAATAATTATCTGTTTATGCACTGGTTTCCCCACCAGACTAGGAGATCCTCGCTATTAACCAGATCGCTTCCTTTTTGCCTCTATGAGGGGGCCTGCACTCTCAGGTGGACTTAATATATTCCTGTGGTATAAATACCGCTTCAATATTACCTTTGCACGTGCTATATCCACGAGCTAGAAAGCTAAACCTTTCTCCACCTGCCAGGAAAACTCCCACTCATCCATCAGGATCTAGTTTACACATTTCTTTATGAAGTCTTTCCTGCCTCTCCCACACACACACCCTTTTAAATCTCCTAAACCTTACACATATATCCATTAGAGCATTTGTCACATTCGGACAAATATTTGCTTACAAATCTAGCTCCCATTCCAGATTGAGAAGGACAGTCATTTTGGTATTTATTCCCAGAGCGAAGCAGCCTCTGGCACTTAACACGCGCTTAATAAATGCTAGTTGAATGAATGAATGGTTACACCTGTGCCCGAGGTGCTGCCTCTGACTACGAGCTCTGTACAAAGAGATTCCCCTCTAAACCAAATGAGGGTTGTTTTCTAGAAACGAAGAGGGCAGTGGCAGAGGTTAAAGGGAGTGTGGGGAGCGAGGGGAGCAAGAGATTTAAATCGCCGACCGCGCAGAGCCCGAAAGCCCGGGGGAGGGAGAAGGAAGAGCAAGGAGGGGCGGGGAATCCGGAGCCGATGGAGGCGGAAGGAGGGCGAGGGGAGGAGCCTGCGGCCAGAGTCCCGAGGAGGCTGCAGACCGAAGGCCTGCGGACAGGGCGAGGGACAGGGGAGGCTCCCGCCCGCTCCCGGCCGGGGCCCGCACTCACTCGTCCCCCTGCAGGAGGCTGCCCTCGGTGATGGGCCGCACGGCCGCCCTCGGGGGCTCGGCGCCCGGACCCGAGGGGCGGAAACACAGGCTCAGCTTCTCCTCCAAGCTGCAGGCCAGCGCTGGAAAGCTGTCGCCTCCCCCGCCCGGCCCTGCCCCGGCCTCGGGGCTCGTGTTACAGTTCGCCTGGTCCTGGAGGCTCCGGGCCGGCTCCTGGAACTCATAGAAATCCTGCCAGTCCCCGTCCGCCGCCATCGCCGCCCAGT